TAAGAGCAAAACATAAACAGAATGCAATAATGGAAATAATTTACTTTGTAAGTAAACAGATTTAATCATTCAGTTTATTAGCAGTAATGCATTCTCAGAAGTTTAAAGCGCAAACTTTCAATTTCTTGCCTTTGTTATGTTTGCTCTGACTTCTGCTCAATTTCTGATGTTAAATTGATTCTGATGTTTACTTTGAGTGTAATTGAATATTTTTATGCACTGAAGCACATATTGCAATACGTGATAACTTGCGTTAAGAATCGAAATTTGTAAAAAATTTGTTAGAATTTTGTTGAAATGAAACATTCAATTAAAATTGCCAATAACAATTTGAATGTTAAGAGCAGAATGTAATGCATCTATAATCAAACTCTAAATGACGAAAAGCATGTTTTGATTTAAGCTTAAACTTTTGCTTACTCCAACAGAAGCTAGTTGAAGCTAAGCTTACAAGTTTAACTGATAGCTGAATTATGCAAATTAACTGCAAATACAATCATGTGATGCAAGCTTAGCTTCAATTAGCTTCTGATAAAAAAGACAAGTCAAAAAATTGAAAATTTGAAACGTTGTAAAATAAATTCATTCATTTCATTGCATTGCAGCAATTCATCGCAAGCTGTAAAATTGTAATCCGATAATGCAGTCAAAGTTTTGCTTCCTTTTTTACTACTCACTCAAAATTGCAAGCAGAATTTTATCAAAACCAGAAAGATTAGAAATAAAAGAAACTTGAAAATGAAATGAATTCACAAATATTGTAAATAAATATACTGCGAAATTAGTAAACAATATGCAAAATGCGCAATTTTTGAATTAAAAAAAAAAGTTTTGATAAACTTTTAGCAATTACAAAAAATAATAATAAATGTATTGATTGAATCAAATAATTCATAATTGATCATTTATATATTTGAAAAAAATTTTTTTGAATTTAAAAAAGAGCAGATGGCATTTCTTCTGATTCATTTATTTTCTTTAAAATATTTTGTTATATAATTTTGCGAATTTTACTTATAATCACTTCTTTTCTCCTTTTTTACCACAAATTTTATCTGTGCTACTTTTTTACACATTTTTTCAATTTCTTGTATTTATTTGCGCATTATTTTGTTTAGATTAATTGAGTGTACTAAACGTCTCATCAATTTATAATAACGAACTAATGCCATTTTAAGACTGTTATCTGACTTACTTATTTTTATTGATAAACTTTTTTTTTTGAATTTAAATTAATTTAAAAATTGAAATCAATAAATTTTGTGTACAAATTTTTATTTAAAAAATATTTTTATCTTAAAATTTGCTTTTTTGTATGCAATAATAATTTTATTAACTGAAAATGCTACACATTGCTTTCATACTTTGCATTACTCACAAATATCAAAATAACAATGTTTATTTAATGCAATCGTATCAATAACCAAAATATATTTTCATTCATTCAATCACTAAAATATTTACTTCATAACAATGCTCATTATTCTTCTCAAAACTGATCTGATATTACATATGTAAACCTCAAAAGATTCAGAAGATATCATATAATTGTTCGTTGTATTGATCTCTGCTTAATTAACATTTTCCTAATTACGTAAAAATAATAGACTTTAATTAAGACTCAATTTTTGTTAACGACTGATCTAACATTA